TTTAAAATTACGTAAAATCTAACTGGAGAGAAATCAAATAAAAATACCAGGTGCATTAAGGCTTGTTGCAATATCAATAAATTAATCACCTGAGAAATTAAAATGATCTCAATAATTTCAATTTGCATGATTTATTGTTTTCTTTCTACTAAAAACTGGATTATAAAGTCTGGTGCTTTTTAATTATCCATTTTATTTGTTGTTTCTTTTGTTTTGTTTATTTATTTTGAATATTTAAAATGTCCTTCAGCTCCAGAGTTAAATGCTCATAAGAATTTAAAGTTCATTGACATTTGAGAATGAGCGTTAATATGTCATTACCGTTATATTAATGGAAAACAACAACATATTACAACTTCTTTATTGTCCAGAAAAAAGAAGAAGGTAGATTTCACTCAGCCTGTATGGAGTTTAGAATGACGACTTGTCGCTGCGCACTGCTGATCAGCTGGCTATCAAACCGTCTGGAAAGTTTTCCAGTGGTGAAAACATGAAGTGCCAGCATTTACTCCTGAGGTTATGCTGGTTTAAAGCTACAACTGGCTAAAGGAGCTAAGTAAGCTCATTTCATAATACTTATGTATTATGACTGAAAATTACTCATCACTGAAACCACTGCTAACTTTTATTTTGTCCTGTATTTTAGCTCATGTGTGCATCAAACTGTTTAAGTGCTGTAATATTCAGCGGCTGTGGGAATAAATCTAGCTTTTTTATTTAATTGCAATGCAAATTTTGTTTGAAATGTTTTGAATAAAGATCGTGATGTTGTGAAACAAGTATACAGCGGCTGATAATACCGACAGGCTCTCATACTGTACACAAACATGACATCTTTATGATGCTTTTAATAGACAGCAGGTGTCAAATTCAAAGCAATATATAAAGATTAATGAGAATTTTGTCTTAAATGAAGCTAGAGAACAATAAACTGGAGATGCATAAAGTCAGCAGTAAAGGAAAAGTTATTTACATGCATCAATAATAGAAGCTGCAGAATGCTTGCATCAGCAATCACTAAGTGTGTGTAGGTTGATTTTTTTTTCTGATCTCAAAGGAATGTGTTTGAAATGTGAAAATAATCTGCACAGCAGATGATGTCTCAGGCTGGAAGAAATCGTGTGGATCATCCCCAAAGTGCCACATGTACAGAGAAAGGCAGAACACAAGTTGCTTCTGTTTGGCTCTATTTTCTGTTATTGCACAACAAAGAACCAGCCAATAAACATAGAGGGGAGCATGGCAGTCTGACAAATTATTCTGGTGAAAACTCCCTGGAGAAAAGAGGAAAAGACGAGCTGGGTGTTTTTGAACAGCTTCAGTCTGGCTGATGAGCTAAAGAGCTCATCTAAAGTAAAAACCAATCACTTTCTGAGCGTCTTGAATATGAATCTTAATGTTTTTAAACATATAACAACATTTTACTGAATAATGACTTCCTTTCCTCAACACATTAAGTTTAATGAGGTTTTAATTAACTGGTCATTTGACACGCATCGAGTCTGAAACCTTTGCACTACCTTCATAATGTTGTAATCTAAATAATAAAACTAATTGTTACAGCTCTAGAAGTCTTCAGTTCACGCTTCAGAAACTATTTCTGTCGTCTTAAATTAGGTAACGGGTCGAGATTAATCATGAGTTAACCTGACAGATCATGCTTACGCTACAACCTCTCCAAGTAAAGCCAGCTAACGGGTAACCTCAGTCCAAAACGTCTCCTGACTCCAGCTAACAGCGTTAGCTCACATGCTACATCGAAACGAACCGCCTTCACACACGTTAAAAAGTTACTCACCGTTCGTGTACGTCTGTCCCGTCCCAGTCCCGTTCTGGGAGTTGAACCCGGCGGTTGACATGTTGAAACAGACACCAGAATCTAATTTAGAGGTTCTCGGGTGACTGCTCTGGAAGCTAGCTGGCTAGCTCTGACCGTCGCGGGCTAAACGCTCAAACCTGTGGCTCTGACGGTGAAAGCTCACAGCAAAGAGCAAAGTCCGAGGCAGAAATCTTCTGCTTACTTTAAAGGTGTTGATTGGGAGGTCGTTTCACTATCAATAAACCATGATTAGTACCCCAAGACCCGGTTCGACAACCCACAGGTTGGTCAACGACGGGCCTGCTCAGAGTAAATCTTCTCCCCTTTCACCGGAAGTTAGGATCACCCAGCAGGATCAACGTAAAAAATGGTTGGGCATGCGCAGTATGTACACGTGGCATTTCCTCCTGTGCACAGGATTTTTTCAGAGTACCAGAAACAAAACGGACTGAGATTTTACTACATCAATACATTCTCCCATCCAAAATCTCAGACCAGCTTCATAACCCTCATATATAAAGACTTAAAAACAGTTTATTCCCAAAAACACCCTGAACTCTCACATGCACCAATTATATGGTGGTCATATGTGTATGCCTGTATACATAAATTTAACTAATTTAATACTGTAAATATCACCATATTCATGTTTATGTTGTATATATTTCTTACAATGTTTGCACTGTTTTGGTGCTGGCTTTGATCTCATAGTACATATGTACAGTGGAAAACAATAAATTATAATCCAACCTACTAATGGCAACCTGTAGAATATACAATATTTTCATGGCTAAGGTAATGTAATTTAAATTCAATTAAAACACACTTTATTACTTCCAAAGTGATATTAAATGTTATTGTAATTTGATGGGGCTGCACAGTGGCACAACTGTTGCCCTGTAGCAAGAAGGTCCTGGGTTCGACTCCCAGCCCAGGGTCTTTCTGCATGGAGTTTGCAGGGAGGTTCTCTCCGGGTACTCCGGCTTCCTCCCACAGTGACTGTTAGGTTAATTGGTCTCTCTAAATTCTGCTTGTGTGTGTGTGCATGGTTGTTTGTCCTGCCTGTCTCTGTGTTGCCCTGCAACAGACAGGTGACCTTCCAGGTGACCCCCCCACCTCACCCAAAATGTTCGCTGGAGAGGCACCAGCACCCCTCCCGATCCAACAAGGGACAACAGTTTTCAGGATGGATGTAATTCGATGACTGTGGGCAGGAAAGCTCTCCTGTAGCTGTCTGTGTTACAATGCATCTGAAGAGGCCTCTGACTGAAAACACTGTTTTTGTAAAGAGAATGTTTATGGAACCTTTATTTAAAGTTTTTTTTTCAAGAAGTGATGCATTTCATACACATTTAAGAGCTAAAAATTATCTTTAAAAATAAGAATATCAATTAACCAAATGTAACAAATAAAATAATATCATAATATAATTGTTAGTTTTCAATTAATTATAAACTATTATTAAATAAAGTAAATTAAAGACTTTTCAACAGACATGTACATATAGTGCAAAAGGTTGCATTGACTGCATAACATCTATTAAAAACACATTTGAATAACAACAAAACAGGTCAGACAAGAAATGAAATACAAAAGAGTAAAAAGACCACAACAAAAGAGAAAGGCATTGCTTTCTGTGCATGTTCTGTCCTGCTAACTGAGGCAAACAATGTGTTGGATCTGCCTTATTTGCTGACAAATAAAGGGAAAATGAGAAATTCCTCCTGTTGCACGAGTGATTCTTGAAGAGGCAAAGTTTATAATAGGTGTAAAACCAGGGAAACAGTGAAAAACATAACCAGAATTATCAAACTAAAACAACACACATTAGTACCAGATATTTTTATTAAAATCAAGTGGACGGCCACCTCAATGCAAATATTTCTCAAGGGGTTGTGGGAACATCAAGTCTTTGTTTTGGTGTTATTGATTTTGGAGAAGACTAAAGAAATTTAAATCCATTTCAGTCAGCAGCAAACATCAGAATTATAGAACCTATTTTGAATGTCCCCAATTAAAGTATCACTACAACAATATGTATTCACTTTGCATTGGTGACTTTAAAAAATAAGAGTTGGTAAAAGACAATTCAACAACTTAAAAATAATTTTCTATTGTTTTAGTTTCTTGCTTTATTCAGTAACACATATATTATTGTATTATCCATCCATCCATCCATCTTCTTCCGCTTATCCGGGATCGGGTCGCGGGGGCAGCAGCTTCAGAAGGTATTAATCTATTGTATTAATTGTATTAATCTATTAAATCTATTAAAATACCACTCAATTATTTTTCCCTTTTTGACAGCAAAAGTAAAATATGAGACAAAAGAATTAGAGCAAGAAGCTGTATTTTCATAATTTTATTATTATTCTAAAGAAATGGAAACAATTATAAGCCTTTCTACACTAAAGATATTTTCTCACCTGCGATGTTAGATTGTTCTTCTTTTGTGGTAATCTCCAGAAGTGATCATGTTAATTATTAAAACAGAAATATGGCTTCCAATTAATAAGTTCTCATTTTTTTATCCACTTCATTCACAGAAATGTTTGGTTTGTTTTTCTGCATGCTTCTCACTGTTTCACCAGAGTTTTGATGTCGTCCTCTCTTCATATGAATAGCAGACTAAGGCATTTTTCTTTTCCAAACTTGTATTTTTAAAATCTGTTTAAATAAAAATATTTCTTGTATTTGTTTTTATTTATTTATCTTATTAATTCAAGTTCTTTTATTTAGTTGTCATTATTTATATTTTTTATTTGTTTGTTTTCTTTAATTTTCTTTATTTTTTATTTATTTTAATTATTCTAATTAGTTTATCTATTTTTTAAAATATATTTTCTTGTTCCTTTCTTTGTTTTCCTTATTTCAATGTAATAACAATAAAATCATTAAAATTGTACAGATGTTTGCCACCATAGATATTTATTAAGCTTTTTAAATACAAAAAGTTTCACTTTTTGTTAAATACAAGCTAAACTTTTTATTTAATAATACTGTACTGGTATCTATTCTAAACTAAACTAAACTAAACTAAACTAAACTAAACTAAACATAACGATGCATTAAAAAAATGCATCGGTGTGAATTTTTGCATTAGGTGTAAATTTGTAGAATTGAGAATAACGGAACGTTCGGGTGTTGGTTCACTTCAGTTCTCCTGTCGGAAGGCTGTCGGTGAGACACCAGCAGGAAGCGGCTGGGGAGTAGCAGGACAGCCATTGCAGTGTCGTGGCTCAGTAACAAAATACGAAAGGGCTGAGGAAGACCTGGCAGCCGCTCTCCCTGTTCCCTTTGACCAACAGATTAATTTACATGACTGTTAGAGCTTAGGCACTCGGTAAATAAATCTACATCTAAACAATCGGTAAGTTTTTTGATCATATTTCACAACAAAAACGGAGGTGAGCGGTCGGCTTTTTTAGCTTGTTTCCCCGGTAGCTAACGATGCTACATTAGCATTCTTTTTTTGCTTCGATTGAGCTTTCTTAAACTTGATATTAACTACACATGTATTATTCTTAGCGTAATAACAGTCTTTAGTAATATTATATTGAGAAACACAATTGTTACTCCAAATCCTGCTGCGTTTAGGCAATCAAATAACTATTTGTCTAGCTAACTGCTAATTAGCTAGCGCCGCTAGTAGCGACTCGGAGCGACGTCGCCTACTGAATATGACACGTAGCTTGTTCTCAGGTCGTTAACCGGTGTTGATCTAAAATATTTGTTACCCATCATTTTAAATTAATCAAGAGCTATGACACTGTATGCTTTTTTCATAAGACATAGATCCTATCTCACGTAGCCTAAAATGTCGCTTCTTCTCATTTTAATGTTATGAAACCTTTAGAAGTGTGACAGCCCAAAATAGGTTTCACACTATCCCAGAGTAGCTGATGGTTTTTATTTTGTTAGGAGAGACTGTTACATGTGTGAACATTTAAATAGACTCAGCTATCGTTAACATTGTTGTGTAAAGTTAGCGCAGAAATATAACTTTATTGCGTGTTCATTAAATGTAGGAGCGACAGACGCTACAATACAAACACTTTTAAAAGTTTTTATGTTTTTGCTAGGATGGCATTGTAAAATATTTGTAATAAGATAAAATTTTTGATATTGCACTGGCCTTCATAGTTTGCTATAATAGTAAACAAACACTGATTGAGTCCGTTAAAAGCATTTAAAAACTGTTTAATTTGGAAACCTAAACTGCGAAAATATATTTGTATTGACTGGTGATAGTGATGTTATCATTAGGAGTTGTAACAGGAGTTGCATCCTAGCTCCTGTTTTTCTTAATCAAGGTTTTTGATATTAGTTTGATTTGCTGTATTAACATTTAGGCTGAAATTAAAACTGTTGTATCTTTATCCTTTCCATAAAGAAATAGCATGTGTAATCTCATCAGGTGATACTGTAATAACTGGGGTCAAAAGGTCAGATGACTTGAACCAATTATCTTTACAGTATCGATTTCTCATTTCATTTATTTTACTTTACAAAGGCTGTCTGAAATTGGAAAATAATGAGGTGCAACTCCAGAAATGATTGTGGATATTAATCACATTTATCAGATCATTGTTTATATTAGTGAACAGTTTGACTTTATCAAAGTTAACAGAAAGTAGTAACAGAACAATTAGTTCAGAGCCTCAGACCTGTGGCACATTTCAGCTTGGGAAAAAAACGTAAGCAGCATGTAGATAAAACTTCTGTGTAGCAGATTAGATTTATATTCTGAGTGAAGCCTGAGTACGATGCTCTAAACTCCAGAGACTTTAATTCAAGTTTCTGTTGTAGCTTTAAGAAATGCCTCAACTTGAGTTAGTTTCCCTCTCTGGTGCATCAGACCATGTCTGACATCAGCTGGTCCGTCATTTAACAGTTTTTTTTTCTTGTATTTGTCTGATCTTGACCTTTATCTACCTTATACTTTAGCCCTGGAGTTGTTTGAACGTTGCGTAATTAAGGCTGGAGGTCAGCGCTGGCTTACCGCGCTATATGCTTCAGGATCGGCCACTGATGATGATGATGGGGGGGGTTGGAAATCAGCAGTGAGCAATCCTTAACGAGGAAACTTAATTTTATAACTCCTTCTGACTTATGGTATTTAGTAACTAGTTACATTTACTTGATTTTTTAAGAGTATTTTTACTACTTTTACTTGAGTAAAAGTATTTCTTCTCTTGAGTAAAATTTCTGTATTTTCTTCCCACTGAATGAAAAACAAACATGTTTTTACCAAAAATCCACCAGATAGACTCAAACCTGCAGTTTCTGTTAAAGTTTCAGAAGTTTTTTATTGAAAGAAACTGATTTAGAAACATTTTATTTTGGCCTGATTTTATTATTATTTTGTTTCTTGTATGATTTATTGTAATTTTGGTCCTTAAAATACCAAAGTTTCAGCATAACTTTATGTTTTGGTCCGTCTGATGATGTAATTTCAGGGTTTCCCCCAGTGCATTATAAGCCTGGCGGCCCGCCATGCTTCATGAACTATGAATATTGTTCTTTGAGCTTTTACAAAGTAAACTTGCCAGCTCCTTAAAATTAAATTTAAATGTTAAACGATTTAAAATCTTTTCATGTATGTATGCTGAAACCTTTGAATCAAATTCAGCAGCATTGATCATCTCAATAAATAAATGTTACATTTATATATGTGTTAAAATATCAGCATTTTTGGCTAGAGAAGCAAGTTTTGCTTCTCTAGCCATAACTTTCCAACTCCAGAACTATCCCTTCAATCTCTCCATGTGTAGCTTCATAAAACGTCAACATGAAATAAGTTAAAAAGTGAAACAATCAGATGAATATTTCGAGGCCCCCAGGGCTTCTGCCCCCTGAAGCCCTGGGGCCCGACGGAGCCGCTGACTTAGTTTGGATTAAACAAAGTGCAGATAATTGATATTCATTTTAATTATGTTGTTTGATTTGTTGTTTTTAGTTGTGGGTTTAAATATTATTTCACTGGGGATGTTTTCTGTAACGTAATATTTTTACATTTCCGACTGCCGGGTTGAGCAGGTTTTCTGGGGGAAACCCTGAATTTTTAAATATTAAATGATTGATAATTTGAACAGTTACTCAGTCCTTGATTAAACTTTTTACCAAATACTTTTTTTACTCTTGAGTAATTTCCTGATCAGCTGCTTTTTACTTAGACTTGAGTAAAATTATGTTGAAGTATTTCTGCTTTTACTGGAGTATAGTTTTTGGATACTCTGCCTCCTCTGGTATTTAATCACAGACAAAATGAGTTACATGGTTGTAAAAGTAGGATAAGCTGATAAACTATAATGAGCTCTTCGCTTTACAGTTATAGTGATTTATAAAACTGTCTTTAGTTTGGAGGTTTTTCCACATTGTGTTCCTGCTCCAGACATGTTGCTCTGATTTTAACAAAAGTTAATCATTAGGTGAAGAAACGCTTCATTGTTCTAATTATTGTTGCTGCAATAGATTTTTATTAAAGAAAACTTTCTTTCTTGTGATTTGACTCCAAAAAATACAATTGTATTATTGTTATTAGTACTATCATTATTATTATTAACTGATATAAAATGTTCTTAAATTAAAGGTATACTTATTTCTGTCTTTGCTTTTCCATCAGTTTCTATTTTAATTGTAATCCCATTTATAGCTAATTTCTGTAAAATCTACATTTTCGGAGCCGTTGTTTGCATCTTCAGCAGGTTGTTACCAGAACAGTTTAAGTGCTGAAACGTTCCTGTATTTATTTTGTTTTGGATGTGATTCCCACTGACTAAACATTTTGTTTCCTTATACTTGTTTTTCCATGAATGACTTCTTCTTTCTTTCGTTTTGTCTTGCAGAATTCAACAGCTCCGGATATGTCATTCCTATTCGATTGGATTTATAGCGGTTTCAATAGCGTACTACAGTTTTTAGGTGAGATACTGTCACAGCTTTTTATACCAAGAGAAGGCCAAGAATAAAAGAAAACTGTTGCCTAATTACACAGAACAGAGCTGGAAGTTAAAGTTTTGGTGAAGCTGCTGGTTGTTGCCATTTCAGTGTCGCTGTACAGAGAGACAGCAATGAATATCGACTAATTCTGCCTGGGATGCTATGCTAATAATTAATATGCTAATGTACATTTAATGCAGCAAAAGAGAATTAGAAATGAAAGATATTTGTTTGTTTGCCTAAAGATTTTCAGCAAATGCTGAATTTATTTCATTTTTCCCCAATAGCTGAAATTTACACCTGGCAGGAAAAACAATGTTTGGTTAAATATTTACACCACTCATATCTTTGGCTTAAAAATTACCAACATTATTGCAACTTTTGCTTCTGTAACCAAAACAAAGAGCTTCAGAAATGACAACTGATTTGAATTAGTTTGATATTTGAAATATTCAGTTGCCTGTTTGTTCCTGGGATTCGGTTTGGAGTCAGCTCAGATTTTTACATGTTTTGGCCTCAACATCGAACGGAAGAATGTCAACCCGTCTGTCCAGGAAGTTAATACGATTAGAGCCACTGAAAAACAACAAAAGATATGATTTATGTCTTTTATCTCAGAATTCTGATGTTTTTCCTCCAAAGTTTTTTAAAAATTAATTTTTATTATTTGGGGAGTCAAAATTCTGACTTTTCTTCTTTCGAATTACGATTGTTTTTTCCTCTGAATTCTGACCTTTTTAGTTTTTTTTTCCTTCGAATTTTGACTTCCTCTTTAAACTTCTGACTTTAATCTTGAGAAATTCTGAGACTAAAGTCAGATTATTTTTTCCAGTGGCCCTAATCCTCTTCCTAATCTTAATCTCTTAAAGCAAACAAAGGAAATATTATTTTGAAACACAAGTCCCTCCCCCATCTGCTTTAGGTTTGGACTAGACTCTAGATTGACGCTAGCATCCTGAAGTGTACCAGTAGGTCTTCTCCCCAGTGCGCTGCTCCAGTTTCAGTCAGAGCGACATGCAGCGATTGTTCCAGTTCTCCCAGTTTGACAGGTTGCTCAGAGCGCTGTGAGTAACGATGACGTTCAGCGGCGCTGACTCAGCCACAAATCTTATAAATCCTCTGAGTTTCGCTGTGCTGACTCAGCTGAAGGAGGAGTGGCTTCATTTGCACCTTTCATCGGTTTATTCAGCCCCGTTTGGAGAAATGTTACTTTTCTCACATCAAGTCCAGAAGCACAGCAGAGTTTCATAAACTTCACTCGCAGCAGTGGAGGAAAATGTGAAGCAACAAACTCATTAGCATGTTTCTTTGTGGTGCACATTTTGCCAGCGAGACAACAGAAAGCGCTTCACATGATGCTTTCTGCCCACTTTGTTCTTTTCTCGGTTCTTAGCGACTCGTTCTAAAAATATCGGCTCATTCAGAAATCAGACAGCAGACCTGCTGCTGGACCTGGTTGCTTTATAAAATGGCTTTTATTCAACTTCTATTTTATTTGTAGCGTTGCGTATTTGTTTCCATAGTTACATAACAGATAATAAAGAAGTTGATCTCATGTTGTTGAGTTTGCTTTTAGTTCTTTGTTCTTTAAACAATTCAAACAAAAGCAACAAAGAACAGAAACTTTGTCCTTTTTTGTAGCAGGCACCAGAAATATTTATATTTAATATAAAAGACATTTCTTTTTCCAAAATCTCAGGTTCATTTTCTTAGATGCTTATTTTGACTACTTTTATTCATTTATTTTGATCCATTGTAATTGCTTGTTTTCTTTTTAGGCCCTTTGAGATTTCAAGATGTAAAAGGCATCTTAAAATCTGGTTTAGTATTAAGATTTGTTACGCCTTGGAAATCTAAGTTTGTTTCTAATTTTAGGACTGTACAAGAAATCGGGCAAGTTAGTATTTCTTGGCCTGGACAATGCTGGCAAAACGACGCTACTGCACATGCTCAAAGATGACAGACTGGGACAGCATGTGCCGACTTTACACCCAAGTGAGTTGTTTCCATAATCTAGCACATTTAATAACTTAGAAACATAATGCAGCCGTTTGTAAATCTGGGATTTTGGTTTCTTTACCCAGCATCAGAGGAGCTGACGATTGCTGGCATGACATTCACCACCTTTGACCTTGGAGGCCACGCACAAGGTGTGTAATTCATTTATATATATATATATATATATATATATATATATATATATATATATATAAAACTAAATATATTATTTAGTTAAAAACTGGGACAGAATTTAGATAAAGATAATGTGTGTCTATAAAATACTTTAACAACATATTTACAAAAAATAAAAACATTAGTACAGACATTGTATTTCTACTAGATTTTACAGATTAAATATGTTGGATGCTTTTTGCTGGGATTGGGATTTAATCTCACATTTACTGTTTCAGTGATGATATATATATATATATATATATATATATATATATATACACACACACACACACACAGACCTGTTGCAGCATGGCTTCACATGCACAAGATCCTGTGTGCAGCTTCCTGCTGGAGGGCGAAAATCTGCCCGCTAACGATGACTAGCATGGGTTTTAGCTGTCAAATTGTCAACATAACGCACTAAATCTTACATGTATGTCAGATATATAAAAGAAAAATGGACGCAGTGCTTTGCTACTAACGGCAACTAGATACAAAGTCAGGAAACGGTTTCAATCAGGAAAAATAGTGAATCAGTTGGAAGTAGCTTAGTTATGCTACCTTGACTATAACAGAATTAACATGTAGATGTGCTGCAGAACTCAGTTTTTTGGTTCAGTTAAAATCGGTGGAGCAGGTGTTTAAATTAGCTAATCTTCCACTGCTGTGTTAGCTTAGCTAATAGCAGTGGTAGCTAATCTGCCACCGCTGTGTTAGCTTAGCTAATAGCAGCGGTAGCTAATCTACCACCACTGTGTTAGCTAATAGCAGCGGTAGCGAATCTACTGCAGCGATCATTATTAATAATCACTAAACAAACATCGAGCCTGAAAACATAAAACTGTAACCGACTGAATGTTCTGCTCTGTGTGTGAAAAAGTTTGAGAGTTTTTTAGTGTTGAATCCTCATATAGCGGTGGGGCTGTCTGTTGCTATGACAACGAGTCTGTGTAGCAAGAGCAAAAGTGGTTTTGAGTTATTCTTCAGCAGTTTTTCTGCGTTATTTTTCCCTTTGCTGCAGCGCTGCTGTGGATAGAAAGGAATCGTCTTTTTGCCCTCCGGCGTTGAGCACATGATCAAAATTTCCATTTGTAAACTATAACATGCAGTAGGTGTATAAATAGATTGAGATTTTCTTTATTTTCATCTTCAGTTTACCTGACAAGTTGGTTATTTTTTGCCTCTGCAGCCCGGAGAGTGTGGAAAACCTACCTCCCTGCCATTAATGGGATCGTCTTCATCGTGGATTGTGCAGACCATCAGAGAATGAGTGAATCTAAAGCAGAACTTGATGTGAGTGTCGGCTGCTTTTAGTGAAGGAATAGCTGAATGAAAACATTCATCTTTCTGCCATTTCTGAGCTCTTTGCCAGGCGAGGAGTTTGATTCTGCAAATGTAAATACAGGGTCTGTGTCACCAGTAGCAATAAGTTTTATATTTCATCAAACCCATGAGCTTTCAGCGTTTCTGTGGGTTTCCTTTGAATTATTTAGTTAAAAACTGGGACAGAATTTAGATAAAGATAATGTGTGTCTATAAAATACTTTAACAACATATTTACAAAAAATAAAAACATTAGTACAGACATTGTATTTCTACTAGATTTTACAGATTAAATATGTTGGATGCTTTTTGCTGGCATTGGGATTTAATCTCACATTTACTGTTTCAGTGATGATCTATAATCATAGCTCTTTTTTATCCACTTTTCTAGGCGTTAATGACAGATGAGACCATCGGAAATGTGCCTATCTTAATCCTTGGCAACAAAATCGACAGGCCTGAAGCCATGAGCGAGGAGAAGCTGCGCGAATGTTTTGGATTATACGGACAGACGACAGGCAAGGTGAGGAGACGGAGCAAACCATCTGTCTTATGGCTAAAGAAACAAATAAAAACATCTGTCATTTTTTACAGTCTGGAAATGTTTTTGAAAACAGAATTTGGATTCAGGTTTTTCAAATATGGAAATATGACATTTAAATTTTTCATTGGACTCCATTTGTTGTTCAGCCTCCTTTATCCAGCTGATTATCAGGAAATAACAGCCAATCAGCTCTCAGTTGGTTCATGGATACCTGCCTGTTAGAGAACAATAGACGGAGTGAATTTACAAATATATTCAACAACGTCTGTCCAAAATAAAATAATTTATTAACAAACTTCTTCAGCTCTTTAACAAAGCTGATATTGATCAACTAAACTAAGTAAAACAAAGAGAAATAAGAAAAGTGATGAGCTAAAAGTGATCAGTGTTAAAATGTTTAACATTATATTAATGTTTAAGGTTTATGAGGACAAATTAACTTTAAAACTGCAAAGATCAGTTTGTGTTCAGTCTACAATGCAAAGAAAAAGGAAAATAAAACATTATTTTAGTAAAATGTTTTAAAAAACAGTTAATTGGATTAATCACGATGAATCAGTTGTTGAAAGAATGATTTAATAAATGATTTAATATTCTGATAATTAGCTAATTTGAGTAGTAATTAAACCAAAACTGTGCAAAATGTAACTGACCCAGTGTGGCTGTGAGACGATTTTCTATCTGATGGTTTATTTGTCTGAGAACATAAAACTTTGAAATTTGCCCACAGAAACATAAATATAGAAGCAGAGCTAACGCGTCTCGTTTATCAGCAAAGAAAATGATTTGGGGGTTTAGTTACTTTGTCTGAAATGTGTTTTACCTTGAACTCGACATGGAGCAAAGTTTTAACTTCACCTGGTTCAAATTCTGGAAAAAAAACTATTAAATACCTTTTGGTTGCCAATTATTGATCTTTAAAAAGCCTGACCTGCTGATTCCAATTTTGACTGATATAGATTTTTAAATTTTCTGTCTGAAATATTGCTAGATGTAGAAAGTGGGGCGACTATTGTTTACTGCAGACCTGAGCCGGTGGGCCGGTCTGCCGGTCTGCCGTCTGACCTTTAAAAGATCGGCTTCTCATCGATTATCAGCCGATCAGCTGATAAATCTGTAGACCTTTATTAAAACTAAATAAATGAGTATTTTTTTAAAGTAGTTATTTCTAATGTATAAAAACGGCTAATGTGGTTAGTCATTTTTTAAAATTTGTCAGAATAACCAATAGATTAGTAATTGATTCCTAACTCTCCATCGTCTCCTGCTTGGCGCTGATCTGTTGGATACAACCTGAACTGTTTGGACCTTTTTGGTCTCCAGGGCAACGTTCCCATGAAGGAGCTGAACACGAGACCGCTGGAGGTTTTCATGTGCAGCGTGTTGAAGAGGCAGGGCTACGGCGAGGGCTTCCGCTGGCTGTCTCAGTACATCGACTAAACCAGGCCCCGCCTCCCACTACACTATCGGCTAGGGGGCGCCAAAACCAGCCGTTCCAGACGCCCACCATCATCATCCTCTCAGCCCCGTTCGGTTAATCAAGTCTGCCTTCGCCTCCAGAGAAACCAGTACGACTCGACCCCAATAGACTTTTATTGGTCGAACATTTGGTTCACACACACTCACTGTCATCATCATCTCTTTATTTTTATTTCATTTTTCCAAGAGAGAGGGGTTCACGTTGAAATGGTTGAATCTTTTCTACACCATGTTTGCTGTCCTCCTCTTCCGATAGACTCAGAAGTTTAAATCTGTTTGATTCTGTTGCTAAATAAACTTCTTCCTTCCCCCAACTCAGACGGCCACACAGCAGTACACTTTTTTAACAGATAAATTCATTCCACGTTGTATCTAATCAGTGTTTTCTTTTTGTTGCTTTCTTTAACATGGTTTGAGTAAATTTAAAAATTGCCCTCACCATCACACATTTGGCTGTTTCCCCGTGTATTTGAATGGAGCAGTGCGTTTATCTTAGTGTATCATAAGTTAGATCCATATCTCTTTCTGTCCAGCCTCTGAGCGGGCTCCCTTTTTAAAACGGAGCCAACTTCTCTGTGTTGTTTGTTTTAAAATAGAATATGATACTGGCTATAACTCTTTGATAAAATTATGTAGATATCACAATGTTCAGCTGACGCAAAGATGGATGTTTAAAGGAATCAAATCGGCTGACCGTAACACGCCATAAAGAGATGAGGGAGGAATAAAGAGACGCTGGTTAAAATTAGGCAATATTAGAAGCAAGTGAGACGTTTGACAGGGTGAATTTGGTGAAAACAGCGGAGACAGGTAGACAGGCCTAGAACACCTCCAACAAAGGGACCATGTTAAATATAAATATATGAAATGTACACAAACATCGTACATGGATTTTCTATTTCTGAGTGGCATCCTTTGAAATATGTGCATTAACAGGAACTATTATGCATGCCTTGTTCTTTTGATTATTTTTAAGAACTATTATTAACTCTGTACGAGGGAAGACGATGCCAAAATTACCAACTAGAGAGGATTGTCATGTTTTTGTTTTTTTTTAAGGAAACAATGGAAATGTGCATAATATACTTTAATCTGTCCCTGTCCCTTTGTGTCTCTTTCATCCCTCATGAATAAGTAATGAGATGTTCCAACATGAATGGGACCTGCTGTTGTTTGCATCATTAAAAAATGTAATAAATGTTTGCAATGAATAATCGGATCAATCAATCTAATTTATTTGTGCAGTGCTGAGCAACATAAAGTGCTTTTCAGGAATAAAATGTATATATTTACATGAATTATCAACATTAGTATGGCTGTCAACACAAATGTGGAGGAAAATATTTTTATCCCGTGTTTGCTAAAGAAAATCCAAAATATTTCTAAAATTAATGGAAAAAAATCTGGCAAGAAATGATTAAGTTAAAATGTGTAATAAAGGACACAAGTTGTGCTTTTTTCCACAAATTTTAATATTTAACAGAACCTGAGTAAATTCATATAATTTATGTCTGAAATCAGCCAGATGGAGGTTCTGGAATGGCCTAGTCAAAGTCTGGGCTTGAAACTATTTAATAGGCTGTGGCATGAGCAAGGTTTTGGAAATGTGACTTCAGGTTGTTTTTGGTACCTTTTCTCACAAATAACTAAGGTATTTGTTTGTTCAATTTTGTTTTATGAAATATTTAATAATGACCAAAAAGACAAAAACAGAATAAATGTTAGTGGGAATAAAAAAATATTAGATTTCTTTTTTTAGCTCAAATTCAAAAAGTTCAAAAAGCCTCTGTGGGAGCAGTAAGGTCTTTGTAAAGAAGTGAATGAAACATTAAATTAACTAAACGTTTGTATCTGTGTCCATTCTACATTTCAGCCTGTTTGGAAAAGTAGCAGTAAGTTCAAACTTTGCATCTTGTTTCTATTTTAAAATATATTTTAAGTTCCTTGTATCTTCATTCCACCCTAGAAAAAATATAATTAAAAATAAAGATTAACATTCCTGCCAGTAAGGTGATGAAATGTAAACCTCTGTCCTATCAATCAACAGCTTGCAGAATTTGGTATAATCTTGTCCATCATTAAAAATGAATAAATTTACTATCCGGACAGAAAACTTTTGTGTGATTTGAATTCTCTAAATGTAAAATGAAGCAAAAAATGAATAATAAAGATGATCTGGCTGGACTGTTGTGTCATTTCATGTCTTGTTGCTTTCTTAGAAAACAACTAATCTTTCAAACTAAAACGTGAAAACATCTGTCTGACTACACTCGACCTTATTGTTCTGACAGAATGAATAGAGTGGAGAGTTTTAATAAGTCAATGACACATTTACACAATTATTTCATAAGTTACTTAGGAGTGGAGAACTGGAGTAACAGTTTAAGTTATATATATGTGAAATATTAAATTTCACTGTTTCTCTATTCTAAAATGGCATTAGAGATAAACTGTTCTTACTAAAATGTACATTTTCAAAGCTTAAAAAGTGTCTTCAGTCTTACATTATAAATGTATATATACATCTCATAAATGTCACTGTTTCCCTAAGTTATTCTAAAACTATATTGGGGATAAACATAGTGCTATTTTCTCTAGCTTTATTAGGGTTTGAGATTTGGACAGTTTTTTGCAGTTGGGCAGGTTTTACCATTGAACTGGAAATGGTCAGATCTGGCAACCCCGTCGAACAACGCCATGCTTGTCATTTATGAGAGTGAGGCGCATGCGCCATACTTGATATAAATAAAGCGACGTTAATTGTTTGAAAGACAAAAAGAAAAGAAAGAGAAAGGCGCGGATCGCACCTGGCAGCCGGAGACGTCAAGCTGCTGGTGAGATATTCATCAACTCTGGAACCAGGATTTAAAAATGAACTTCTCTGGTCTCCTAAGACGCCGCATCGTTCTTGATGCCCAGCCTAAATAACTCAAAACTTTCCCAATCCAACTGGAATGGTCTGTGTTGCTTTAGGCCTAATAAATTGGCGACTTAACTCACCTGCTGAGGATCGGCTAGAGAGGGCGAGGAGGCCGCGGGAGCGCCATGTTGGAAATGGCTGCGCTGTTACTCGGTAAGTTATTTTTTTGGAATCCTTACTCGGAGTTATTTGTGTTGTTCCTGATTAAGTTATTGAAGCCATTTTTATGGCTGAACAGAGCAGCAGATGAAGAGCGAGCCGACCATGGCGTCTCAGGCGGTTTGTTTGGCTGATGGCGTCCCTGAATATCTGTGGAAGAAAACAATGGCGTCTGGAACTAGCAGCAAATCGATTATGGATATTAAAGGGATTTACAATCAGGCTGAGGATCGCTTCAAGCTGCCTGGGGGACCCGCCCGACCCATCAAAGGTAGGTTAAGTCAAGCAGCTGTTCGATGGCGGGTCCAGAAGACATCTCAGGGTAGGAGCTGCTGCGGGTTTGATGCTAGCTGCTGATGCTAACGCTGTTGAAGGCCAACGCTCGGCTGATGCTGGTTTGGTTTGATTCTCTGCTGAGAGTCAATGAGCTGAGAAGGATCCGGCTGTTGAAAATCCTTCTTTCTTGGTTGTGGTCATGTTGATCTGTGGAGGTTTAAGTGTAGTTTGCATGTTGGAATCTGAAGTTCATGGTTAAAAATCAGTTGTGCTGTGAAAGAAAGATGGCTGCCAAGGTTTTGGCGAATACAGTATAGAGGCTGCAGGAAGTCTTTGAGTTGGGCCAAGTAAATATCATCATAATAATCCTTGATACACATTATTGGTGATAATTCAACGTGACTATGTTGCCATTTAATATAGCTGCATAAGATATTTGTCTTTTGCATGAATACTAAATGTTTTTGGGTGGAAAATGAGGTACTTTACATTTCAATGTACATACCTTTTTTATTTTTTGTATGCACTTAATACTTAGTTTGAAACCTAATCTAAATATTTCAGAAATGGGATCCATACTTGATAATCTAACTCGCACAAATTTTATTTACGTTAAACAACTTAAAAGTGACAACCGATTGTCTTTGCGTCAAACGCGTGGCCTCTTGCGATTTCATTTCTTCTGGACGACAATTTCATTTCTTCTGGATGACGGCGCTCAACGGAGAGATGCACTGGAGGTCAGAGGTCACAGAGGTAATGTTCACTGTCTAATCCACCCTCTCATTTGCAGGTTTTCAGATGAAATTAACAGTTTTCCTTCTAGAGATGAGCCACTGGGACCTGTCTAAGAGTTTTGTCTGTTTTTAACCCAGTTTCTCTCCTAGACTAAGAGCCTTACTTGCATTGTGTTGCACCTAACATTTTTTTTTTCTCTGATAAAGCCACAAAAGGAGCTTCTATTGCAACTAACTCTTTATTTTCTCCAATATAGAAATACTCCTGCAGCAGCTCTTTTCTGTCTCTCTGCTCTGTCCTTTCTATTCCCCCAGGGGTCGTGACAGATGGCCTTTCATGCAGAACCACTTTCTAGAGGTCATTTCCTGTTAAAGGGAAGTTTTTCCTCTCCACTGTCAATGCATGCATCTTCATTATGAGCCTAAGCTTATGACTTTTAACCAATTTAAATAATTGGTGTAGTGATTTATTTATTTTTCTTCCTTTGGAAAATCATCCTGTTAAAAGGAAGTTTTTCCTTTTCTGTCACATGTATCCTCAGTATGAGGCCTTGGCTAAGCTTGTTTGGTATTACTTTTAACCATATTAGATGATGTTTGGTGAAGTGTTGGCTTTTTTTTTTTGGGAAGTCTTCATGTTAAAGGGAGGTTGTTCCTCTCTACTGTCACCATGTGCATTCTCAGTTTGTCTATGGTGATGATGGTTTTGAGCTCATGGTTAAGAATTTAAGGCCTTTTCAATACCTTGTGGTATACGGACCAAGAAGATGTAGAAGCCAAACAAGTTTTTGTCAACATGAAGACTGAAGATCCTGTGGACATCAAGAAGGCAGCTATGGCACTGGACTCTGAACCTACCAGTGGGAAATGTGGTTTGCTACTTCCTGTAGCCAGTCCTCAAGACTTTGAAGTCATTGGAGGATTTCAAAGAAAATTGGTAACGGGTACAATAAAGCAGTTGATCCATTCCACGGTCGACGCAGGAAAATCTGGTAATCTATATGAAAGGTAGGTGTTCTGGTCTTGGGTACAACAACCGTAACAAATCTGGGATTCTCTGCTCTGATCAGATGTGGAATTTATTCTAAAAGGGGTGTGGGCGCGGACGAGCGGCGGGGTAAAAGGGGTGTGGGCGCGGACGAGCGGCGGGGTAAAAGGGGTGTGGGCGCGGACGTGTGTGTGGGATGACAAAAACTGACTAGACCAATGACCCATAGGGGAAAAGCCCTGCAGACAAACCCACAGGACAACCCCCCACAACAACTGACTGAGAAGGCCTTCATCGCACCCCACTGATGGATGACCATAATGACCCGAGAAATGCTGTAGGTATGTTGTTCAGGTGATATTTACAAGTGAGTTTTTGAAGTGACAATTTATTCTGAGCTGCTAAAAGCTTTGACCTGAAACCTGCATCCCTCCGGTTGTCTTTCTGTCCTGTTGTCCTTCAGGAATCTCCTGCATCATATTGTTGTCGTCTCGGATTTACCAACGACGGACGGAGGCGGCCCTAGTTGTCCATCAGCGGCAGCAAGGGCCGCTGATGGATGACCTTAACGACCTAAGAAATGGTGCAGGTATTTGCCGTTTAAGTGATATTGTCAAGTGAGTTTTTGAAAAGTGATGACTTCGTTCTGAGCTGCTAAAGGCTTTGACCTGAAACCTGCATCCATCCCGTCTTTCTGTCCTTCAGGAATCATCTCTGATTTGGCCCTTCATCGCCCCACCATCAACTAATGGAAAAGGCCTTCCTCACCCCCACTGATGGATGACCTTAGCGACTCGTCTGTTGGGTTCAGCAGGTTTTCTGGAGGAAACCCTGCAAGTGTTCCCAGGTGACCAGGTAAGGCAGACTCCTCCTGATCCATTTTGACTGAAATTCTCCCAGTTCTACTTGTTTTTACAAACTCTACCTGTTTTGCTGTTGGAACATTTCTTTAAGTAATATTTACAAGTATGAGCTGTTGCAGAGGGTTTGACCTGAAACCTGCCTCCATCTTGTGGTCCTTCAGGAATCCTCCTGGATGATCTTGATTTCGTGTCTGATTTGGTCCTTCATTGCTCCACCATCGACCGACGGAAGAGGCCTTCATCGCTTTTTTTTTTCTTTTAGGACAATTTTGTTCA